GTTTGTCATGTGTACAGTTTCAATCTGTTAGACTTGTTGGCAGTATTAAAATGGTGAGTAAACAGTTTAGCCTTTTCTCTGGTTTATTCTGAATTTTTCCGGGGTTTCCCCCCCGTTTTGTCCTTTGCTGGAGAAGGAAGGTCAACACCTCGATGGGAAATGGGTGTGATTAATGGGACAGGAACGTTCCTTCTCCTTTATCGTACCCCACTGTTGGTGCTCTCTGTGCAGCCACTTCTGCTGCTCCCAAAGACTTTTTGGGTTGTGCTGGCACTGACAGAGAACGGTGGGCACCCAGTCCTTCAGGATTACTGGCAGATGGTTGGTTTGCTGCTTATTTATAGCATGAGTCTCACCCCTGCTTGGACCTGATGGGGGGAACACGACGGCACTGGCTGGCGGTTCAACCAAAAGAACCTGTTTTGAAGACACTTGCCCAGGAATACAGAGTGAGAGAATTTGGGGATGTGTGGGGGTGCTGGAAGTGGCACCCCAAAGCGTCTGTGAGGTGTCTGACACTCGTTTTGGTTGGTGGTGGCACCTGGCACCTACGTGTCCATCCCCACCGGGAGGACAGTGGTGGTGGCCCCGTTCTGCACGTGGGCCAGTGGTTGAGCTCAGTGAGGGGTCCATGTGCAGAATGAATGCAAAGGATGTAGGATGCTCAGGGATGCAGGAACGGGGCTTGGGAATGGTGGCTGCGGAGAAAGCAAAAGCGGGAGAAACGATAGACATCCGTGTCATGCACATTTCTTTATTCTGTTTTCCTACAGTTAAAGCAGCTGGATACGGGATCTCGGCCGTAAACAGCGAGAGGATACAGGGCTTGCCTACAGCACCAGCGTGGATTTATTTACAAACAGTAAAGAGCAAATACAGCTCTAAATAGCAGAATGAAAAAAAAAATACATCTTTCAAGTAACCATTTCCTCTTTATCCAGCCCATTCCACTTCTGTAGGCGTGATTATCTCCTCCAGACCCTACCGCGCGTGCTCCGGCTGCTCCTGCCTTTCCTGGCCCACCATCGGCTACGGTTCTCCGAGGAGACGTTCCCTCGAGCCTCAGGGCACAAAAAAACCCCTCAACCCCCCTCATTCCTCCTGCCAAAGCGCTGAGGCTGGTTCCCGGGAGCGTCTTGTAGGTATCCTCGCCTCCATCTTCCCTGGAAACTCCCAGTTTGATTAATTCCACTTGGATAAAAGGGAAGCAAGCTCCTGTCGCTGCGTCCCGCGGGAGCGCTGCCGCAGGGTGGGAAGTACCGATGGCTCCAGAGTCCCTTTTCTGGCTGATGTGCTCTTTGGTGGCAAACCACTGCGGAGCTCGTTTAGAAACGCTGCCTTTCACGCGCTGCAGAGAGCAGGGGCTTGGTTTATTTTTTTGATTAATTCCACTTGGATAAAAGGGAAGCAAGCTCCTGTCGCTGCGTCCCGCGGGAGCGCTGCCGCAGGGTGGGAAGTACCGATGGCTCCAGAGTCCCTTTTCTGGCTGATGTGCTCTTTGGTGGCAAACCACTGCGGAGCTCGTTTAGAAACGCTGCCTTTCACGCGCTGCAGAGAGCAGGGGCTTGGTTTATTTTATTTAGGAAGTTCAGCTTCAGCCCCGTCCTATTTTGGGCTTGGAAGTAGGTGGCTTGTTGGGCAGGTCATAGAAAAAAAAAAAATAAATGGGGTCCAAGTAACTTTTTTTATATTTTTTTTTTTTTACTTTTTTATGGTTAATCCTTTTGGCTCTGCTCAGCAGAACGGCGATGTGAGATTGAAGTCCTTCCCTCTCCTGGCACGAAGGAAGAAGAGATGGGGGGTTATAAACACTTGTAAAGGAGGCGGTGAAGGCTGAACGCGTGGGATGGGGGGGTTGGAGGAACAACTTTTCATTGCACCACACTGGGAGGGGGGGGGGAAACCAGTAATCCATCAGCTTCGATCCTCTGGTGGGGCTGGGGTAAAGTTCTGCCCCGAATATTCCCCGACTGAGCGCCCCCTGCGGCTTTTGCTGCGGCCAGCAGCCCCCGGGGCAGGCAGGACCTCCCGCCTGGGCACGGAATTTCTACTTTCCTGGGTGCCAGGAGTAGGTTTTCGGGCAAAAGCAGCTTTGTTGGCAGCACAATGCAGAGCTGAGGGCTGCGGGGAAGCTGCCTGGTTATTTGAGGTCCCTTCCAACCCCAACCACTCTAGGATTTGTCTATTTTTTTTAATTTCTCTATTAATATTCCATTTCTCTATTAATATTCAAGGACAAGGGAAGTGCCCAAAGTTCCCTGATAAAACAAAATGTCGAAGCCGGTGGCTTGGGAGCTGCTCCGAAACCGGGGGAAGGAATTCCCACCGCGAGCAAACGCAGGCAGAAGAATTAGGGTTATAAATCCTAATTAAACCTTTACGGTGACGAGCTAAAAGGCCGGGTGGAGCGGAGTGGGGCACGGCAGTCCCGGCCCTTCCCCCCGCGGCGTTTGGGAATCGTTCGGGTTATTCCCATGAGCTGTGACCACGGTGGTGTGACAACAGGAGCCCCCGAGATAAAGTGGTTTGATCTTCCTCAGGTGCAGAATTTGGGCTCTAATCTCCTGCTTTCATCTCTCTCTCCCCGTGCCAGGGTGACCAAATGAGTTCTCCACCCTGTTTTGGGGGGCTGCTGGGGAAAGGGGACTGAACCCCCCCCCCAGAGCTCTGCACGGAGACGCTGACCCCACCTTGGGGCTGGTGGGACCCCAAACCCCCCTAGTCCTCAATGGTCCCACCACGTCATGGCATGGCATGGTATGGTTTGATGGCAAAGCCTGCAAGGACCCATGTCCCATCGCCCTGCGGAGTGGGACGGCGCCAGCTCTGCCGCACCCTCGTCCCCTTCCCCCAACCCTTTATTTTGGGGTGAAATAACCAGGTTTTGGGTACCTGCCACCCAGCTGCTCAGAAGAGGCCGCAGTCCTTGAGGTTCTCCTTGATGATGACATCCGTGACGGCGTCAAAGACGAATTTGACGTTCTGCGTGTCTGTGGCACAGGTCATGTGGCTGTAGATCTCCTTCACGTCCTTCCGCATGTTGAGGTCGAGGAACTGGGTCTTGATGTAGTTTCCTGCGTCTTCGAACGTGTTGGGACCTGCAGAGGGAGGAAACGGCGCCGGGGCTGAGCTGCGCCCGTGGGAGGTGACCATCAGAGCTGGGCGAGGACCAGGGGATGCTTCAGGCTTGTTTTTAAGAGCTAGATCTGAAATCTTCCTCTGGAGGAGGAGGAGAAGGGCTGGGTGGCCAAAGCACTGAGCAAAATAATTAAAAAAAAAAAAGCCATTTTATTGCCTTTTAATCCTTCCAAAGGTCTTCCTGAGGCCACGTCTGCCCTATCCTCTATGCTCCTACCTCCAGGGACTTGACTTCATCTATAACCCAACCCCGAGACACTTGTGTCTGCGGTGGGACCACGCGGCTCCTCACCGCGGTTTGGGGAGCGGGGGGATGTCTGGGGAAGGGGGAACGAACCGACTCACCGTCATATTCTGGGAAGCAAATGCTGAGATGGACTTTCTTGATCTTTTCCTCGAAAAGGTCCTTCTTGTTGAGGAAGAGGATGATGGAGGTGGCGGCGAAGAACTTGTGGTTGCATATACTGTTGAAGAGGTGCAGGGATTCGTGCATGCGGTTCTGCAAGCGAACGGGCACGTTGGCACGAAGCTTTGGATCGTTTACAAACCCCT